CCGCTTCAACTACATTGCTTCCATTTTCCACGTTGCCATCATCCTCTTCATTGTCATTGCCGGCCTCACCAAGGCCAACCCGAAAAACTTCACTCCCTTTGCCCCCTATGGCCCTCGTGGCATCTTCGTAACCTCTGCCGTTTTGTTCTTTGCATACGTTGGATTCGATGCCGTTTCGACAATGGCTGAGGAAACTAAGAACCCTGCTAAAGATATACCTATTGGTCTTGTTGGATCAATGGTGATCACCACATTAGCCTATTGCATTCTTGCAGTTACCTTGTGCTTGATGCAGCCATACCAACAAATTGACGAGGATGCGCCGTTTTCAGTGGCTTTTGAGGCTGTTGGATGGGGTTGGGCTAAGTACATTGTGGCTGCTGGTGTTATTAAAGGCATTACCACCGTGTTGTTGGTTAATGCTGTTGGACAGGCACGCTATCTCACCCACATTGCTAGAACCCACATGATCTCACCATGGTTCGCCAAAGTGCATGAAAGGACTGGCACTCCAGTGAATGCAACAGCCACAATGCTCGCTGCAACAGCAATAATCGCCTTCTTTACAAGCTTGGGAATCCTCTCGAACCTCCTCTCTATCTCCACCCTCTTCATCTTCATGCTGGTAGCCATCGGCCTGATCGTCCGACGCTACTACGTAGGCGGTGAAACGACACCATCCGACCGAAACAAGCTCATAATTTGTCTGGTTCTAATCGTGGGATCTTCAATAGCAACTGCCGTGTACTGGGGCTCAAGCGACGGCTGGATCGGCTTGGTGCTGTCCAATTCCGTATGGTTTCTCTCAACTCTAGCCCTATGGCTCGGTGTCCCACAGGCCAAAAAGCCTCGCGTGTGGGGCGTGCCGCTCGTCCCGTGGCTGCCTTCACTGTCGATCGCTATCAACCTTTTCCTTCTTGGTTCCATCGACAAAGCCTCATTTGAAAGGTTTGGAATCTGGACTGGGATTCTGTTGATTTACTATATCTTGATTGGATTACATGCTTCTTATGACTCGGTCATGGAGTCCAAGACTACAGCAAGAGAAGTTAATAGCAGTTTGTGAATGGATCTTTCGAATTTATAATGATTGGCTTAGTGCTTTGATTAGGGGATTTGTGGTTTATGTTTGTCATTGTGTTAGCTACCATTCATGTTGGCAAGGATGGTGGTTTGCTTGTATATGTTTGAGCTCTCTCTCTACTTTGTCTGTACATGTAAAAAATTATAGCTAAACAAAACGCTATAATATGTTTTTTATAATATTTTTTTTTAAGATCTTGATGGTTGACATTATTACAAGTTCAAGACTTTTTATTATTATTTTTGTGTAATTATAATAGATGCTATAAAAAATTCAAAAAATTGCGAAAGTAAAGTATTGAATAATTTAAGAGAGAAGTTATTCAATTGATACGAGATAAATGGTTCACCTTATATAATTATCAACAACATTAATTAATTAGAAAAAATACAAAAATTCACAAGGGTTCAAGATGGTAGTAACATGTAGTTGAACTAGCCCTTTTTATTTTTTTATTTTTGTGTACGTTACTATTACGTTCACCTACATTGTAATGTTTGAGCCTGGTAGGTATGTAAGTTTCCCTAATTTTTGTGTACGTTACCATTTCATTCACTTACACTCTTCATTTAATGCTACTACGCTCTTCATTTTTGTGTTCGAGCCTGCTTCTTTTGTCGAGCATTTTCCTCCTTTCTCTATTATGTATTAGCCGAGTGATTGTTAATGTGTTCTTTAATTTCACCTCTTTTGTAGGGTATTTCTTTCTCACTTCTCAGTTTTATTGCTTGACATTGTTCCTTGCCCTCTCTTTTTGGCGTTTTGATGTCTGCTTGCTACTTTCCAAGATGTCTATTTCGTAACTCAGTTGCTAATTGACTCAATTGAACTTCCTTCATTACGCTCTCAAAAGATGTTCCCGACATGTGTCTTGCTTGGCTAAGTCTAAGAAAATAAATGGGGCTACTCTATGCATGTGTCATGGTCTCGAGTTGTGATGTCGTCGTCAGCCGTTCAGGGATGCCTTGCATTTACCTGAAATAGAAGTAGCACGTGGTGGCTTGAAAATTTTTAGAAATACTCAGTAAGTGACCCCACTATTGGGGTTAAATGATAACACATACCTATCATAACAGTCTATTTTCCTGCGACGGTCATCATAACGGGCAATTGGGATGTGTACTTAATTTTTCTACACACAGTTCACAAGTGCGAGTATTGACCCACCAGTCAGTTCGCACGCCTCCTAGGCCCCCTTTTTTATGGGGCGAGAATTCTCTAGTAGTTATTGATGTTAGACATCCGTTACAAATAGCGATCATCACGACAGCATTATGTTAACATAATGATCGTTCTCCTGTCTCGTAGCGTACGCGTCTGTACTATTGAGAAGGATAAGGGGTATCCCCCAATGCATGAGCACACAATAATGTATAAGGTCCCAACGTTTCTCAATTTTCATTATCATTTAATACAATCTCGCTAGCGTCTTCCTTCATAACATATCTTTCATGTGTATGTCGGGGCTGTATCTCATGCTAGTTAATCGGTTTGTCTGTCAATCATAACATATCAATCATATTACATCTCTAGAGAATTCTCGAAACTTTTTCTCCAATCTCTTTGGGATTTTCTTTCAAATAAATTGAACCTTTTAGCGTTACTAGGAGCTAGCGAGGGAACCTTATGGACCTACCGATTATAAGCTCCAATGATACAAAATTAATTAATTAAACTCTTTAATTAATCAATTTCCATTCATTAACTATAGGTCACTCTACTATAGACCTAGAGTTGCACTCTTATGCACTGTAGAACAAGTTATGTCCATCGATATAATCATTACAAGCAAGTCGATCCTTCACGAGTTGTTCATAATTACAGCTGGGTCAAAAGTTCGTTTTACCCCTATAATTACATCTTTCACCTTAAGTACCACTGATTCTCTAATGAACAATTTGTCTATGATCCAATCATAAACCAAGTCCCTCTCAGGCCAATAAGAGGGTGGGGCCCCATTGTTCAAGTCCCAAAATCAGTACTTAAGAAAACAACTCTTCTACTTTCCTTGTATGGAACTTGTATGGAAAGGAGTGAATTTCATCTCTTGATATTATGTTCCCAACTCCCTATTTGGTCAATTCTCATAAATAGTAGGCATATTGAATCGGCTAAAATAGCCATTCTCGCCCATGTAAATTAAAGGACAAGCCCTCACAGGAGAGTTCGTAACTCACTCAGGATTAAGATCGAGTCGCATATGATCAACATGTGAAATATTAATCTTCTCAATTAATGGATTTATAAAGAGAGATTAAATATTTCTTGGTCAAGTCTCATACAAACTCATTGTATAGGATACCCCCACTTACATGTCCTCACTTGAATGATTTGGATCAAATCATTTGTAACGATTACAAAGTGGGCCGTATCAATAGTGTTACTAGAATAAGGCACCCAACCTTATCCATATACTATAGACTCTTTAGGTTATTACTTGAACACGATCGACTTGTATGTCAACCACATACTGTTCAAGATTACATTAATAACCTTGGATTTTCATATAATGGGTAACAATTAAATCACAAATAAAATAATATAAATTATTGTTAAAAAACTAAATAATTAATTACGAGGCTTTAGGGCATAAATCCCAACAATCATAACATTTCCATATTTCCAGACATAGCAATTCGAATCGTATACATATCATACCATAACATATCGTATCACAATATTTCATAGCATAAACATATCAATTTTTCACATATATCGTACCATAACATATATCATATCATTTTCGTATTGTATCACAACGTTTCATACTCATATCGTTTCCATATGCGTATCCCTGTCATATCGTTTTGTTAATCTTGTCATAGCCTTATCGTCCTTATACATCTCATAGTCGTATCATTTCATGGACATACCTTAGTCATATTATGGTCAGCATGATAATCATTTTCGTCTCATAGTGTATGCGTCCATACTTGATCATAAAGGGGAAGTATCCCGGTGCACGTGAACATACAAATATGCATGAGGTCTCCATATTTTTTTTTTTTCGTGGCGTAATAAAACATGCAGAACAACCCTCATTCTTTGATCACATATCACACTCAATGTAACACCCCTAATATTCTTGCTTAAATTAGAGGCATCATCACATGAATGCCATAAATAACATATGTGGAAGTTTGAAATAAAATATTTGCAAATGAAGCCATGAACTTACACGTTGAATTTAAAACAAGAAAATAGAACTAACATAGTCTTTGAACATGAAATATGAAATAATCATCCTACCAACTACTAAATGAAAATCAATGCATACTACTTCTCTATCATGATTTCTTCCATGGTCATTTTAGAATTCATGTCGTCTATGGAGGGGCGTTTTACCCTTACGTGAAAAATAAGGGTAGCATGTGGCTTGAATATTTTAAGAAATACTAAATAAGTTACTCCATTGTTGGGATTAGTAATGCAATACACACATTTAAGGATGGGAAATATCCTTAAAAATCGTGATTTGACCTTGGACTCCTTCCAATTCCAGACATGGTGGGATGCGTAAAGTGCAAATTCTGGGCCCAAGGCTCAATACATTAAAATAAACCCTAGGCTCAAGCCCAATACATTAAAAAATAAATCCTCGGTATCAGCCTACATAAAGCCACCAAATCAGCCACCCATGTAATAGAGCACGAAGCCTGGGACGAGCGAGCCACTCACAAAACCCTAGCCGCTGCCTTGTTCTGCCTCTTTATCATCATCTTCTTCTTCTTTAAATCTTGTTGCCGTCCATCGCTCGCGCTGTCCTGCCTCACCATCGCCCACGCCGTCCCGTGCCGTCACCGCACGTCGGACGACCATCGCCAGTCGCCGTCGCGCATCAAATTGTCGTCGTTATCACGAATTGAACAATGTTGTCATCGCCAGAACCACTATTTGGAGGAGTAAACGTAACCAAGGTACAATGAGCCAACCAAATTTACAATGTGGTTTCTTTTTTGAATAGTTTGGATTTGACCCAACCTCTACGTAGGAAGAAGGTAAGCAATAAAACCCTATGATTTGTAGGAGTCGTTGTATCACGCCAAGTTGGGTTGGTTAAACTTGGGTGTTTAAATGTAGGCTCGATCTATGTCGAAGTTGGACCAATATCTATAGGGACAATTAGAAAAGAAGCTCTCCAAGTAAGAGGTCTTCCTATTGAAACTTGACTGTTTTATTTTTCTACAAGGGTTGAATATGTTTTGTATTGTATGGTTGAGTGTTGTGTGATACGATGTATGTTGACTATAAAAATAAATGTTTGGAGACCTATTGCATGCATAATTATGTTTGATGATTGGGAATATCTCTGATGTGAGTAGTGTGACATAATGTCTGGTTGCTCATGAAAATATACAATTTTGGGACGTAATGCATGCATGTTACCTTTGATGGTAATCAACCACCAATAGTCACTCTACGAGGTGATTTAAGAAAATGGTTATCAAGGTAAGGGTGAGGTGATTTAAGAAAATGGTTATCAAGGTAAGGGTGAAGTGATTTAAGAAAATGGTTATCAAGGTAAGGGTTACACGCAATGTGTTTCGGGTAACCAACCATAGATAATCATTTTAAGAAGTTAGGATGGATGTTGATTTTCATGTGGTAAGTTTACATGCTATGTCTATCGGATAACCAGGCACTAATGGTCACTCTCCGGGGTGATTGCAGTGAATGATTTACAAGGCAAGGGTTACATGCTATGTGATTCGGGTAACCAGCCATTTATAGTCATTTGAAGGAGTAAAGGTAGATGTTGATTTTCATGTGGTAAAAATTACGCGTTGTGAGTTTTAGTAATTAACCACTAAGATCCCTCAATTTTGTTTGATTGACATGTGATGGTTTATGTGTTTGATATCAAGTGGGGACACTTACTGAGCATTTCTTAAAATACTAAAGTCGTGTGCTACATTTATTTACATATATTTTAGATAAAGGCAAGACGCCTCTATACGGTTGATGATGACATTGCAATTAAAGACCGTGGCACATGCATAGGATATTGGTATTTCATTTAGACTTTGGGTTAGTATAGGATGTTTTTAATTTTAATATTTTATTTAGTTTTGTTATGTTGCTTTAAATATTTTTGAAAGCATGTAAGTTCATGGTAGTGTTTTATGATGAAGTTTTAAATGTTTTTTTTTTTGCATAAGAGAGTATGTTATGATGACATTAACCACTTTAGGTTAGTATAAATCTAGGGTCATTACAGAGAAAGTGTCATTGCACAGGATGACGATGAATGTTAGAATGGCCATGGAAGTCAAGATACGATAGTAGTATGCGTTGATTTCATTTGGAAGTTGATAGGTGACTTTTCATTTTTTTTATTCAAATACTATGTTATTTTTTGTAACACTTGAACTTAGGAGGTATCAACAACCTTTGTTTTCCTACTTAAGATCCAAATATATGCATGATAATTAGGTCGTGATTTTTTATTGTAGGCTGAAGAGACCGAGGCTCGAGTCGACGAAGAAGAAAACTATGCTCGAGATGGTTGTAAGATTAAAAAAAACTGACAAGATCAACATAGGGACAAGGTCATTTTGCCCCTACTCCTACATGAGGAGTTTGGATAGTTGAGTCATAACAAGAAAGCAAAAGAAACGAGAGGAAAAGAAGAAGGGATAAGAAGAAGGTAGGATTTTGAAAGAAAAGTAGAATAGAGTAATCTGCTGCCTCAAATCCACCATTGGAGATCGAATCCAAGGCAAGAAACTTCGAATCAAGACTCCTCTTAATGCTGGAGGAGGAGTTTGGGGGGTGGATTCGCCCATTCCGGCCAGAAAATCAGAGAATGGACAAGGTAAGACTATGGCCTTTTTTGTTTCGATTTTGCCTGGATCTAAGGAGTTTCTTGAATGATGGATCTAGAGTTTTGAGGTGTGTAATTAAAAGAGGATTCACACAGGCTTCTTGAAGGAATCCCGAACCAAAATTAGAGCTTAATCGGAGTTCGAGTGAAATGGACAAGAATAGAAAACGTGAGTTTTTCCGTATCTTTGAATGTATTTAATTCATTCTATGTTCAAGAAAAATACGTCGATGTAGGTGAATAAAAAATCTCTGACGTTGGTGAAGAAACTGAGTCAATCCAAGTTATGAGCGAAAAGTTACGAAAATTTGAAGCAAATGGTTTGAACACATGAAACTGATGAAATCTGAAAAATTGAAAACACGCATGAGAGAGAAAATTGCTGCCACACGTGGCAACATTTTGCTAGAGAAATGCATTTAGCCTACCGGTTGAGACGCGACAACACGCTCGAATTCGAGTCAAACCGAAATCAAAATGCTCACGTGAATCGAACAGCATCTGGAACAACCAAACTGACCCGCGACCGATTTCGCGACCCACAGTCCAAAGAAGTCCCTGACACCCTCCGCTTTCTGGAAGTGAAGCACGAGTGAAGGAATTGAGTGAAAAAGTCGTAGTGATCGACGCAATGGGCAACCGCCTGGATGGGTTGCCAATTGCAGAACAGATGTTTCTAGTGACCTCACTCGAAGAAAAAGTTGCTCCTACGAGCAGCCCAAGACCGTCTGGTAGATCCGATAGCTCTGTAGCACACAAGGAGGGACGTGGTGGAGAGTTCAACGTGCTACAAAATACAATGATGAGTTTGTTTAATGGATTAGCTGACGAATTCAGAGCAACGATCGATGACATCCAAGGAAAGATGTCCACCATGAGCACCCGTATCGAGGTGACCATGAAAGCCGTGGAGAACGTCTCGGCTGGGCAAACTAATACAGGATCCAACAAATTGAAGTTCTCAGACCCTAGACCTTTCAAAGGGAACCGGGATGTCAAAGAGTTGGAGAACTTCATCTTTGATGTCGAACAGTACTTCAAAGCCACACCGACTTGTACCCACAACATAAAGGTGACAATAGTCTCGATGTATCTCACAGACGACGCAAAACTTTGGTGGCGTACGAAGGTGCAAAACATCGAGGATGGATTGTGCACCGTAGACTCGTGGGAACCTCAAGAGAGAGTTGAGGGGACCAATTCCTCCCCGAAAACGTAGACCATCTAGCAATAGAAAAACTAATAGCCCTAAAGAAAACTGAAAGCATAAGGGACTATGTCAGACAATTTTCGACCCTGATGCTAGATATTAGGGGCACATTAGAAAAGGACAAGATGTTCTTCTTTATAAATGGGTTACAACCGTGGGCCAAAACAAAAGTACACGAGAAAAAGATTCAAGACCTAGCTATCGCAATTGCCAGCGCCGAGAGACTTCGAGACTATGGGAACGAAGCAGGTTATCAAAGAAAAACAACACAGGCCCCAAAACACTGGGGCAAAACATATAAGCTGCCAGGTCATCGAAATGGAAGCCCCAACAGGCCAAACGGAAGTAACGACAGACCAAGCGGGTGGACAGATAGACCTCCTTAGAACAACCAAGCAGGGACATCTCGAGGACCTTACACTCAAAGGAACCACCCGACGACACCTTTACAATACATATTGTGTAAAGGCCCCCACAAAGTTTCCTAATGTCCTCATCGGGACTCTCTCACTACACTCCAAGTGTCCATTCAAGAGAGCAACGACACAAGAGTCAAGACTATGCTAGACAAGAAGAAAGATCAAGACAACCCCTAAATGGGTGCGCTCAAATTCTTGTCAGCCCTCCAACGGAAGGCCGACCCGAAGGAGATAATAGAGAAAGGGCTCATGCTTGTTGATGCGACAATAAACTCTCGACCGATCAAGTGCACCTTGATAGACTTAGGAGAGATTCACAACTTCATCACAGATCAAGAAGCACGAAGATTTGGACTCACCATAGAGAAAGACCCTCAAAAAATGAAAATTGTCAACTCCGAGGCCTTGCCTATTGTGGGAGTTTCCAAAAGAGTCCCCTTCAAATTAGGCACTTGGACAAGAGAGCTGAACCTTGTCGTAGTCCACGTAGACGACTTTCACGTGGTACTTGAGATGGAGTTCCTTCTTGAAGACAAAGTTATCCCAATGCCACTAGCGAAATGCTTGGTGATCACCGACTGCAACCCCACAGTAATACCTGCAGGCATCAAGCAGCTAGGTAATCTTAGAATGATCTCAGCTATACAATTGAAAAGAGGACTCGCACGAGAGGAACCTACATTTATGGCTATACAGTGATGGAAGAAGTGACCACTGAAGAAACTATCCCAGACGAAATCAAGGAGGTACTAGACAGTTATGCTGACATAATGCCAGAGAGCTTACCACAAACATTACCACCTCGTCGAGGCATTGATCATGAAATTGAACTCCTTCCGGGGGTTAAACCCCCAACAAAGAACGCATACCGAATGGCTTCCCCTGAGCTAGCCGAATTGAGGAAACAACTAGATGAGTTGTTGACAGCAGGATTCATCCACCCGGCAAAGGCACCTTACGAAGCCCTCGTACTATTTCAGAAAAAGAAGGATGGGACGTTGGGTTTATGCATAGATTATAGAGCCTTAAAAAAGGTGATGGTACGCAACAAATACCCACTACCGATAATATCTGACTTGTTCGACCAACTTCACGAGGCCAAATACTTCACGAAGTTGGACTTACGGTCAGGGTACTACCAAGTATGTATCGCTGAGGGGGACGAGTCCAAGACGACGTGCGTAACAAGATATGGGACCTTCGGGTTTCTAGTAATGCCCTTTGGCTTGACAAACGCCCCAGCTACGTTTTGCACGTTCATAAACCAGGTTTTCTATGAATACTCTGATCAGTTCGTCATAGTATACCTTGACGACATAGTTGTATATAGCACAACCCTAGGGGAACACAAACATGCATCAACTTCCTTGTTCATGTCATTAGTTGTGAAAAGATCGGGAGGGATAACGATAAGATAAAAGCTATCCAAGAGTGGAAAGTCCCTACTTCTGTATCCGATGTGCAATCCTTCTTAGGATTAGCAAACTACTACAGGCAGTTCGTCGAAGGGTTTTCACGACGAGCCGCCCCCTTAACGGAGCTCCTGAAGAAAGACCACCCTTGGTCGTGGTCAAATAAATGTCAAATGACCTTTGAAGATCTGAAGGCAACCATGACGAGAGATCCTGTCCTCAGGTTAGTAGATGTTACAAAGCCATTTGAAATAGAAACAGATGCGTCCGACTTTGCCCTAGGCGGTGTCCTTATTCAAGAAGGCCACCTCATCGCTTATGAAAGTCGAAAGCTCAATGATGCCGAACGGAGATACACTGTCTCCGAAAAAGAAATGCTGGCTGTAGTCCATTGCCTACGAGTTTGGAGACAGTATCTCTTGGGATCACAGTTCATAGTGAAGACGGATAATAGCGTCATCTGCCACTTCTTCGATCAACCAAAATTGACGAAAAAACAAGCCCGGTGGCAGGAGTCGTTGGTGGAATTCGACTTCAAAATCGAACACAAGGCAGGGAAGAGTAATCAAGGAGCCGATGCGCTGAGTCAGAAGGGCGAACATGCGGCCCTGTGCATGTCAGCCTATATTCAGTCAAGTAAGATCGATGGATCGATGCACGACGTCATCAAAGAACATTTACACAAAGACCCATCGGCTAAAGCTGTCGTTGAGCTAGATAAAGCCGGGAAGACACGATAGTTTTGGGTCGAGGGAGACCTTCTAATGACTAAAGGAAACAGATTATACGTTCCAAGAACGGGAGAACTGAGAAAGAAGCTCATTTATGAATGTCATGATACCTTATGGGCCGGACACCCTAGGTGGCAAAGAACATACGCCCTAATAAAAAAGAGGTACTTTTGGCCGAGTATGCGGGACAACATCATGGAGTACACAAGGACGTGCCTCATCTGCTAACAAGATAAAGTCGAAAAACCAAAGTCTCGGGACTCTTGGAACCTCTACTTGTGCCAACAAAGCCTTGGGAAAGTGTATCTCTCGACTTCATAACACACCTCCCAAAAGTCGGGAAATATGACGCCATCTTGTTTATCGTAGACCGGTTCTCAAAATACGCGACGTTCGTCCCCACTCCCAAATTATGCTCGGCTGAACTAACAACCCAACTATTTTTCAAACAAGTTGTCAAGTTATGGGGCATTCCGTCGAGCATCATCAGTGATAGGGATGGTAGATTCATTGGCACATTCTGAACCAAACTATTTGCCTTCTTGGGAACGACTTTAAACATCTCCACGAGCTATCATCCTCAAACCGATGGACAGACAGAATGGTTCAACTGCTTGCTCGAAGAATGCTTACGTCACTTCATCGACGCTCACCAGAAGAACTGGATACAACTGTTAGATGTCACTCAATTCTATTTCAATTGTCAAACAAGCTCGTCTACGGGGAAGAGTCCCTTTGAAATTGTAAGTGGACGACAACCGGCCTTGCCTCATATTATTGATCATCCTTATCCAGGGAAAAACCTTCAAGCTCAAAACTTCACAAGAGAATGGAAGCAGACAACTGATATAGCCCGGGCATATTTAGAGAAAGCTTCCAAGCATATGAAGAAGTGGGCGGACAAGAAGCGTCGATCCCAACAATTTCGAGCAGGAGATCAAGTCCTCATCAAGTTGAGACCAGAATGAATCAGATTTTGCAGTCGAAAGGACCAGGACTAGTTCGAAAATATGAAGGTCTGGTTGAAGTCCTTAAAATGAT